GGACGCCAAACCCGTAAGCATAAGCCCTTGGTTTCCGAATATAAATTCGTGCGCATCATGCCCCGCGGCAAAATTCCCTCATCCGGTTGCAAGGTCCTCGGCGCGCCTCCCGTGCAAGGGGGTGATTCGGGGGAGGTCGCCGAGGCTCTTCCTGAGACTTCCCCAGACAGCGAGGGGCTTGGTTTGGATAGGGGTGAGGATTGCCAGGTTGGTTTCTACAGGGATCCTTGTGAATGGTTCCAGGCTGCTAAGAAAGTGTGCCACCCTCTTGACTCCGAGAACAAACTCCCAAAGGAGCTGAAAGCTTCTCTTGAGGCCAACATGGTAGCTGATCGCCGAGCCCTCTTTCTTCGTCGAAAACTTGCACTGATGAAAGCAGAGATCCTTTCCAAAAAGTTGGAACAAGACGAAAGCAAACTTCACTCAGCGATGCCATCGTGGATGCAGACCGTGATGCAAGGCAAGAGGATCCTACTTCTGGAGTCTTTGCTGCGACAGCACAATTTCGATGACATGGAGGCAATCGAGCTTTTGAAGTCGGGGGTGAAGTTGTCGGGTGTGTCCGAATGCCCTGCTGCCTTTGATGTCAAAGTGAAACCTGCCACGTCTACCGAAGCGGAGCTCCGTCAAGTCGCTCCCTTGAAACGGGCAGCGCTACTTTTGGAAAATCGTGCTTCCGATCCCGAGCTAGAACGCGATCTGCTGAAGGTGACCATGGACGAAGCGAAGGCTGGATGGCTTCAGGGGCCTTTCAGCAGTGAAACGGAAGTTTCTGAGCATCTGGGGAGAACAGATTGGAGTTTGATGCGAAGGTTTGGCGTTCGACAAGGAGGCAAACTGAGACCGATTGACGATGCCTGCGATTCCGACTTGAACTGCACTTTCACCAGCACCATGAAGCTAAAGTTACAGGACGGCGACTTCTGCATTTCTTTGGCCATGGAAATCGCAAAGCGCGTGATGGGAAAGCTGGGAGTCGTTCCCAGAGAGTGGAGTGGCCGATGCCTTGATCTAAGTGGTGCTTACAAACAGATGGCAGTCTGTGAGCAACATCGGAGCTTGTGCGTTCTGCTTCTGCGTGATGCCGATGGCCGCCCAATCTTTTTCATTTCTTCAGCATTGGTTTTTGGGGCCTCTGCTTCAGTCTATGCCTTCTTAAGAATAGCTCGGGCCTTGAGCTTCTTACTGAACGTCGTGCTGGAGATCCCTCATGCAAACTTCTTCGACGACTATCCAATCCTTGTGCCTTCGGAAGATGCTGAACAGGTGGGCCTCCTATGCACGAAGTTTTTGCACTTGCTTGGTTGGAAACATGCCGAAATTGGAGAGGGTCACAAAGGCCTCCCCTTTGCGAAGTCCTTTGACGTGCTGGGCTTGCATCTCGACATCTCTTGCATATCTTCGGGAACCTTGACAGTGGCTAACAAGCTTGGCCGGGTTGACCGACTCCTTGAGCGCCTTCGTGAGATCAAGCAGTCAGCAGTCCTTAGCCGCCACGAGGGCCAAGTCCTGCTGGGCCTCCTGCGGTACGCAGCTGGGTTCTTCGGGGGCCGGACTTTGCGTTATGTTTGTGAAGACTTGAACGCCATAGTGCATCATGGACATCACCCCTCTCCTGTTGCGGTTAGACTGCTATGTCAACGCGCTATAACTGCACTGGAGTCGTCGAGGCCCCTACAGCTCAAAGCAGATATGCCGAGTTCTCCGGTGCATCTCTTTACAGATGGCAGCTGGGAAAAAGGTGTAGCCGGAGTTGGGGCTGTGCTTTTCGACGCGCACGATGGTTCGGCAGAGGTCTTTGGAGGCGAGATGCCAAAGGACATGGTAGAGTCGCTCCTACAGACCGACGGTGACCACTTGATTGGACAAATCGAAACCTACGCTGTCGTGGCCATGCGGATACACTTGGCCCATCGCCTTTCGGGACGTCGAGTGATCATTTGGACAGACAATGAAGGTTGTCGATTCGGGCTCATTAAAGGCCGTTCGAAGTCCCACACGATGGACACCTTGATCAGAAGCTTCGCCGCTGCTGAGGATGCCGATCCAAGTCATACCTGGATATGTCGTGTGCCGAGTTACTCGAACATCGCTGATGGGCCTTCTCGGGGAAAGCCTGAAGAGGCTCTGAAGATTTCAGGAGCTGTCGCATGTCAGTCTTTTCCATGGATTCGGCAAGCATTCGAAACTACCTGATAGCTCTCTTAAAAAGGGGGCATTTCGGGAGAGCAGGAAATCGCGAAACCTGATCGCATCCTGTGCATGCTTGCCCCACGACTGAAGAAAAAGCGCGTCAGTGTAACTGGATGAATCTTTAACACATATATGGGATTAGGTTTCACATGTGTACATAGAAGATGAAATTATTTTCGTGATCTCACAAGATAGACCTTTGCGATGAAGCTTATTCCAATCATGAGGAATAAATCTCAAGCAGATTGAGTTCCTATTCTTTCATACAAAACCCCAACTTTTGTGAGAGGGAAAATTTCAGCTCGCCTGACATTTCTCTCTCAAACTAAAGTTGTAGTGCTCTTCCTTCGAGCACGGGGTTTTTAATAATCCTTTTTGCGACCTTTTTGAGTTGCGGAAAGTGTTTCGAGTTTTAAACGAATTTTCCTCAGCATCATGAACGTTATTTTTAGCCATGTGACTTGCTGCATGCTTGAATCCACAGTTGGCCCGTTCATGTTCACAGCTGCTCGAGCTCGGGCTGAGAGAAAATTTTTGTCCCTCCCACCCACCCGTATCAATCTTGGGTATGGGGGGGCATTTCGGGAGAGCAGGAAATCGCGAAACCTGATCGCATCCTGTGCATGCTTGCCCCACGACTGAAGAAAAAGCGCGTCAGTGTAACTGGATGAATCTTTAACACATATATGGGATTAGGTTTCACATGTGTACATAGAAGATGAAATTATTTTCGTGATCTCACAAGATAGACCTTTGCGATGAAGCTTATTCCAATCATGAGGAATAAATCTCAAGCAGATTGAGTTCCTATTCTTTCATACAAAACCCCAACTTTTGTGAGAGGGGTCCTTCGACCTTGATCTTCAACTTCTTCTTCCTCAAAAACTCGATCAGTTCCTGAAACTCTTCCTTCGTTGCGTACAGCTCCATGTCATCAACATGTGACAACACCACCATTCCAGCTTCTCCTTTGTCTGGTCTTCTGTAGAACAAGGCTGGTAGTCCTTCGTCGGACTTAAGTCCGTACTCTTCGAGGCACGCTTGTTGAACCATGCGCTTGATCCTATCCGTTGTCCTGGCAACGTGAATCCGAGTTCGTAGTACCTTCCGTCGACTTCGACGACCGTTGGCTCCTCTTGCTCTACCATTAAGTAGGCGTAAGCCTTTGCGTTGCTTCTGTTAGCTGCTGCTGTTGAGTCGCTGTTTGGCTTGCAACTCTTCCTAGAGCTTCTGTGGCCTGGCCAATGCCAGCCAACATTGCCTCAAAGTTTGCTCTTTGTTGTTCTGCCATTGCTCCGACGATCTAGGCAAGTCGTCCAGACTCAAGGCTCTTCGCAGATTGTTCTTGACGAATCGTAACGCTCTGCTTCTTTGACTTCTTCTTGCAGATTGTTGTTGGCGAACCGTAACGCTCTACTTCTCTTTGCAAGACGTTCTCGATAAATCTTAACTTCTTGCTTCTTCTCGAATTTCCTCCGGTGATAACGTCCACCGGAAAACGAACTTCTTCTCTTGCAGGGCGAAGTTGATAAACCTTAACTCCTGCTTCCTTTCTTTCTTCTTTCCAGCCCGTTGGCTGGCTGCCAGCCCTTCGGCTGGGCTTACCTTCTTTCCTTGGATCTGCTTCTTCAGCTGCTGGCCTTCGCCAACTGCGCCGCAACCAGCTTTGGCGCTTCCGGTGGAGCGGGGACGCCAACAGGTGGCAGTGCAGGGCTCCTCCTGTGCAGCACCGTTCCCACTTCCTGCTTGCGCTCGTTCGGACCTGGCCGCAAAATGGTGGCGGCCCTGGAGTGCGGTATGTCCGCCCACGGCAGTAAAGGACGAACCGAGTGTTGCATTGCATTTGTTGATGTGAGGCTTGTTGGCTGTTCTCTGAGCCTGTATAGCAGTAGCTCCCACCAAATCGTTTTGAAAGACTGCTTTGCGTAGCATGGCAAATCATCCTTAGGCGGGGTGATCACGATTTCGATGTCATGCATGGGGACCCTCAACCATGTATTTTCCTTGTGAAGATTTTATGTGGTGGGATAGTTTGTTTTGCCCAGAAGCTTTGCAGTCATGTCTCATGTCATGTGCCCGCAGCTCGTGAGAATTAAAATTTTTCACACGGGCACCTTCCTGTTATTTGCACTTGCAAAAGCTGTCTTGTTTGGAACAGACGAGATCCAGATTTTGAGATAGAGAAGATTGCCACGCGGCACTTCGACCCTAAACTCCTAAACCTAGATGGGCAAAGAATGACGAAGGTTGCTTAGGCCCCGTCTCCGATCAATCTCACGACCGCGTTTGTTTGCAATAGGTTGTTCGTTTTGCAATGTATAGTTAAGAGAGCTCAACGTCTGTAGAAACATGCTTGCAGTTCGTCCTGAAGAAAGTCAAGGACGTTTACACATTCCACGTACACAAGACCTCAAACCCTAAACTCATGCCAACTCATCACGCAAAACCCCAAACCATAAACCCTGAACCCCCGATTCGAGGCGGAGCGGTTCACACCACCCTGTCCGCGGTGTTCCCCCCGGCCCGACGTGCGTCACAAAGCAGAAGACCGTCAGGGCATGCAGTTTGACTGCGTGCGTGCTTCGCATCAGTTTCAAGTTTGAGGGAAACAGGCATCACAAGTAGGATGCCGGAAACAATTGCCAGACTAGCTTGCGTTTAGACTTGGGAGGGCAGGGTGCTTTGAGATGCTTCAGAAGGAGGTGGCGGCAGAGTTTGATGTAATGTCCCTTTGCAAGTTTGCACCCGCCTACAGACCATGAAGGGTTGTGACGTCTCCTGGTGCGCACCCCCTCATGCACACATAGATGGACAGTACGTGCGTATGCAGAAGCTGGTTCAAGAAGATGCCCGCAAAGTCGGGTGGGGTGGTACCATCCTTGCTTCAAAACATGAAGATGCTCATCCTGGCAATGCTTTGCTGGGGCCACATCGCCGACGGTCATGACGAACAGTGCAACCGCGGAGACGACACCTTGCTCCGCATCGTGATCTCAGCCACTCGAAGTGGTTCCACTGCATTGCTGCATAGCTTTGCAAACAATCCGTCAGTTGACGTGGCCTTCCACCAGCCAATCAAGTCAGGATATCGCGAGAACGGGACTTTCTCGTATGAGGTCTTCAAGGAGGAGAGCTGCATGTCTGGGGAAGGGCAGCGCGTATGGGTAGCCAAAGAAACTATCGGTGGCTTCGAACTGCCTGAGGCTTCCTTCTCACCTTTGCCTCATACCGCCTCTACGCTGGATAGCGTGACGTTGGGCCCTTGGGTGGTATCATTAAAAGCCCTCCATCGTCTGAAGCCATTGGTCTTGATCCGTGATCCATTGCAGGTGTGGAACTCTATCTCAAAGCTCAACAAGTACTCGGAAGGCAAGTCAAAGTACTACTCGCCCTTCGACTACTTCGTCAAGAGTTACATGGCTGTTGCGGAGTTTCTCTTTGCAGCAAAAGAAAATGGTCTACCAGTTTTCGCAGTGACCCAGGAAATGCTGGCTGCTAACCCGCAAGAGATCCTATCACGCATCTGCGACCTTTGGGGCATCCCTTACTTCAAAAGCATGGTGCACTGGACCGAGCCGTATGGATCCAAGACTTGGTTCAGCGACGAGGCTCTAGAACGCTTCAGGAGCGATCCACGCTTTCAGCTTTCGAAGGCCGTGCTGACGAACTCGACTCACTACGACTATCGCCCGTCCAACCCTGACGTGTTGCCTGAGCACGAAGAGGTCATTGAGAAGCAGTTGCGCCCCCTCTTTACAAAATCAACTGCCATGGGTTTGGCCGACTTTGGTGGCTGAAACATCTCTCGCTAGGCTAAAGGTCGCAGCGGGAGTGAAAGGTTTTGAATTTTGAAGGTATTTTCATGCGGCTTCCTGACGAATCCACACACCAACTGCAAAAAAGCTCGCTGGCAGGGTTTAGGGCGTGACAGTCGCAAGTTGAGGGTTCAGAAGTTCAGAAGTTCAGGGTTTAGGGCGTATAGGGCTGTTAAAAATTCGTGGCCCAGGGTACGCGTTTGCTTTTTCTCCCCCCCCCCCCCCCCCCCCCCCCCCCCTACTTTTTCCGTGCGCGTTAAGCACTGTGGGACCCTTATTTTCCCTTATTCCCGCTTTATGTTACTTGACATGGGGGTACCTTCATTCTTCCTCAGCTACTGGCGAAGTTGCCATGATGCCAGTGGCCGCAGCCCGGAAGTTCCGATTAACGGCCAGTTGAAACCCAAAATCTTCGAAACTACAGCTCAACAAATGCCGTTAAGCCTTCAAACGCGAAACCCTGAACTGTCAGGCGGGCTCAGGGGCTTATCGTCCGCGTCGGCCTCCGCAGAAGAGCTTCCAGAATGCCTCCAGGGAGCTCTTGCTGTAGCCTCGCGGGAGGGGCGTGGGCTCGCCACTGCAGTTTTTTTTGGGGGGGGGAGGAGTTAAGGTTGAGGGTTTTAGCGCTTTTTGTGCCCAACTAAACCCTACACCATAGACCCTAAACTCTGAAACATATTGGGGGTCGAAAGACGGCGTAAACAGACCTAGAATCCCAAACCCTAAGCCACTCAACCCTGCACTTAAACCCTGTAAAAACCCCAAGCCCGAAGCCACTCTAAACCCTGAACCTAAACCCTGCACATCCCCAAACTCTAGGCCACTCAACCCTAAAGCCTAAAACCCCAAACCTTAAGCCACTCTAAACCCTAAACCCTAAACTTCTCAACCCTGTAAGAACCCCCGTTAAAGTCCTCATCTTTGAATGCTCTGAAGGGCCGGTACCTGGGGCCGTCCCAATAGCCGGGGTACGAGGTCTTAGCTGCCCGGCTGGCTTCTTGCGAGTTTTCTGATTCTCAGGGTTTTAAGAGCTTTAGAGCTGCAGGGGGGAGTTTAAGGGGCTAAGGGTTTAGGGAAGATGTTCGCAGCTTGGAAAGTTCTGGCTTTTCGAACATGCAGCCCTTTCAGGCATTGCGATGCCTTCTTTGGCTTTTGATTTGGTTTAGCGTTTTGTCTAGACCCAAAACCTATACCCAGAAGCCCTACATCCTAAACCCTAAGCCTCTCCGAAAGCCTATACCCTAGACCAGGCCAAGTCCTCAAGCCCTAAACGCTGCGCGACAGAGGGCAGGTCTGTCCACTTTTAATGCTTCAGTGACAGTCCTTTACGTTTGCTTTAGGCGAGTCTTTCTTTGTTTAGCCCGAGGTCGCACGCGGTTTTATTGAGAGTCGCAGACAAATGGTCGCAGACAAATGCAGTTGCTTTTGAAAGCCCGAAGAGATAAGAGTTCAAACCATGCCCAGACCCGACCTTGAACCGCTCTGGAGGTCGAAAATGCATGGCTGGGCAATGTGGGGTCCTGTTATCATGGAATGCCAAGTATACGCCTGTGACGTGGTGCTGTTCGAGTACTGACAAGGTTTGGGGAGAACGTAAAGCCAATGGAACATGATTTGCAGAGTTGGCTTCAAGACAGGACAGGCAGTTACCCGACCTCCCGCCCTCTATTTCAGCCATGCAGCCTCAAGCATGTGCAATCCCGAAGAAATATCAAAGTTGTTGCGCACTGGGTTTGAACAAGGTCGCTGGCTTGGACAGCCCATAATATATTTAAGTTGCAGTTGCTTTTGCGAGCCGGTTAGAGCTCCAGAGGAGTTAGTGCTGTTTGTGGGAGCCTTGCCGGCAAATTTTTGCACCAGCTTTTGCTAACTCCGCCATCGTGTCGAAGCCATGTCTATCTCGGAGCGAGAAGAAGGTCTGGTCGAGCATGCCGCCGCCAACAAAGAAGCACCAGAAATTCCGACTTTGCGAGAAGTGCTGTGGAGGCTCGCACCCACGTACAGCACTTGCTTCTTATGCCGATTGATGCGCGGTTTGGTCATGGTCTCTGTCCCCCTCCATGTCTTAGACATGGGCGGTGATGCGAAGCAGGTCGGGCTGCTGGCCTCTCTTTATGGTATCGGCTACGCAGTGGCCAACATCCCCGCAGGCTTCCTCTTGCCGGTTATTGGTGCCAAGTACACTCTTCTGCTGGCTTGCGGGTGCTTCCTCCTCTCGGCCAGCATTTGTTTCTTTGAGGATGTGAGGGTGCTGATGGCTTCCTACTTCCTCCTGGGTCTGGCAAACTCGGTAGGTATGCTGGCACAGCAAACCTACATCTCTGGTGTAGTTCACTCAGAGCGCCGAGGCTTTGCACTCAGCATCATGGGGAGCCTGGCTCGGCTGGCGCTGGCGCTGGGGCCGTCTATGGGCTCTCTCCTGCAAGGCAAACTTGGCATGCGTGCCGTGTTCTCCGTGCAGCTGGTCTGCGGTGGTGCCGCATTCATGGTGGCGGTCGGGTTCCTGGGCAAAGCTGCAGAAACGGAGGCCCATGAGGCCCATGAGGCCCATGAGGCCCATGAGGCCCATGAGGCCCATGAGGCCCAGAGCCGAAAAGACGTGATGACTCAAGCCAAGGATGCTGTCCAGCAAGATGGCGGCCGCCTGCTCCGAGTGCTGTGCTTGGCCTGTGCCCTGCAATGTGTCCGCAGGGGGCGAGAGCTCTTCTTTCCCCTCTCCGGCCGAGATGCAAACTTGTCCGATGTGCTCATTGGGCAGGTTGCGGCTTTGTCGTTCACGGTGGACATGCTTGTGTCTCCGCTTGCTGGGCAGCTTATGGACTCCTGTGGACGGCGCTGTGCCGGCTTTGTGTCCTTGATGCTGCAGTCGCTTGGGATCACACTTCTCGTCTTCCGTACTGCCGTGTCCATCGCCGCCTCTGGTGCACTTACTGGCTTGGGTAATGGCCTCTCCTCCGGACTCCTCATGACACTCGGCGCGGATCTTGCCCCACCTGGAGCTGGACGTGGTGCCTTTCTGGCTGTGTATCGGCTCTTCTTCAACAGCATGGAGTTCATCACCCCGGCCCTCCTCGGTGTCTTGACCTCCTGGGCGTCATTGCACGCTTCAGAGCTTGCGACAGGCGAGGGTAGGGACGAGCTCCGCGGACCTTCTTGTGTAATCCAGTTGTAATCCCACCGCCATAAAGCAAACCCTGCACGAGCTCGGTGTCTCCTCCTTCCTTGCTCCTGAGGCGCCATCGGGCTTCTCGGAGGAATTTGGGTCCTACTGTGCGTGCCCGAAACATGGCGGCTCTGGTCGGCTTTTAGCCTCTGGTGTTTATGCTCGTTAGCTTGTCCCCCCCCCTTTAACTAGACCCTACCCTCGATCAGCTGGGAAATGTCGATTTTGAGAGTTCATGGCCACTGGGTTTGCACGGTCTTTAACAGCCCAGGGGCTGCTTCCAAGCAGCAGCGCGCAGCTTGTTTGCCCACAACTCGCAGAGCCCAGTGCATGATCAAGCCATTTTGCCTAAATCTTAAATCCTAAACCCTAAACCCATAAGGTACCCCCTACCCCTCTAACCTTTTAAGCCCTATACCCTTCAGGCTTTACGCTCTGAAATCTTCCAAGCCCAGTCTAAAGCGCAGGTTTCGGGTCGGTCAGGACAGGGGGGGAGCATGAAGTAGGAACGAGCAGACAAACTTTTTAGAGTTGAGGGTGTAGGGTTCAGTAGGGTTCAGGGTTCAGGGTTTAGAGATTCGGGCCCGATTCCTCAACCTGCTTCTGTACTCTATGAAAAGACATGTGGTCCGTTCTCTAAATTCCCTTTCCCAGCTGGATGGTCCTGATTCCTGATATTTAGGGGTCTGCAAGTTACCATCCCCCATTGCCCCCATCATCGGTCACCGGTGACAAAAACTCCTAGAAAACTGAATCGTTTACAAGCCGCTGAGACCCTCCCAGGAAACATTGCAGAAGCAGCCAGCCTGGATCGCCTTCATGCAAGCGAAGTTGGGGCTCACTCCTCGCAGCCACGTTCCTTGCCCAACCTCCGTGTGACTCTTTGGCCTGTCAGTTTGTGGACCAGGCGCCTGAGATGATGATGGCGATGATGATGATAATGATTAATTCTGATAATGATGATGATGCCTACCAGTATTGACTTTTTCTATTCTTTTTGTTAGTGTATCGTGATTGATACTACTTCTTGGTTTTCACGAAGAGATATTGGGATCGTAAATGATTCCAAACTAAGCAGCGATTTCTCCTTAACGACCGCGATCTGTGGCGTTGCGAGAGCCGCCAGAGTGTCCAAAGGTCATGAAAGAGTCGTTCATGCATCCTCGCAAAGCGAATTTTGCGTCGCCCTCAGAAGCAGGCCGCCCTCAGAAAAAGGGTTGACCAGCAAAGTGTGTGAATGTTGGTGCACATTGGTACCCTTAAAGTTGAAGCGTCCCGAGTGTTGGCTATGAGGGGTGTTAAGGGATGGTGAATGGTCAGTTACATGGGAGAAATGGCTTGGGTTAGGTGAGGCCTGGGACCTGATACAGAAAGGCACGTCATCTAGATGATCATACTGCATTCCTACTGGGCCCCAAGGCTGACGAAGTAAATCCCCAACCTCCAAACCAAATCACAAAACCATCCCAAAGATCGAACCCAGTGCAATTCCCACGATTATCGCACTTCGGTCTGCTGCCCTTCATAGGTGCTTGAGCCAACGGATATCCGTCGGCGTGTCATCCTTGCGCAGGGGTCCATGCATGCTGAACAGCGTGTCATCCTTGCGCAGGGGGCCATGCATGCAGGATATTGAACACTCCTCCTCACTCACCGGCAATGAAAGCGCCCAGTGAGTGCTCTAAACATATCCTGCAGGCCCAAAATCAGGAGATATCGGCACTGGACTATTCCTTCGGTGCCCACTCCAAAGATCAAAAGCTTACTAAACTAATTCAACCCTCACATCACCTTCCCCGACTCAGCCACAAGTGATGCTTGGGATGGTGCAGCCCACAGTCGACCCTTCATCACCGGCAACTTCATCGAAGAAAGTGATGAGTTTCAGTGGCCCTGCACGACCAGCTCATCAGCTGTTCATACTCCCTGACTCGCATCCATCAACCCCATCATGGGCCTCAAGATTTGCACACGACACTTGGGTATCGACTTGGTCAAGAGATCCGCTACTAGGCCAACTCCTGGAGCATGCTCCACCGAGATATTCCTCGTAGCTGCCATGTCTCTCAACTATGACGCCCTGATGGCAAAATGCCTTGTACGCCATCCATGAGCCACGAATCGCTCTCGTGTCACAAGAGTCACAGCAGAAGCATTATGCGCCTTGAGTTCTAGCGCCAAATCACGATCCGTTAAAGCAAAAATCAAGGCGTGTGCGTGTAGCAGGTCTTGTACAGTCGCAGTCATCCCCTCTACTTCCGCCTCGCAAGAGGAGAAGGCGGTGAGATTTTGTCTTCGGCTGGACCAACACATTGGGTTAGCTCCCCAGGAAATAACGGTACCTGTTCTTGATCTGCTCCCTCCAGGAGCAAAGCTGGCATCGGAATACCCTGTCAAGACATTGGAAGTTGTGGCCTGAACACGCACCGTCAAGAAACATGTACTCCGCAAATAGCGCCACGTTCCTCTAGCTATCCGGAGAGCCTCGGACGGAACCCTAGTCAAGCATGTAGCCGCTGCTCCAACCACCGCCGCTATGTCCCCCCGTGACTTTGTAACTAGCCACAGCAAACTACCCAACTCCTTCTGCGCCTCAGCCTTTCTCGCTGCATACTTGCTGTCTTCTCTTTCATCGCGAAGCTCACCTTCATGAAGTGCTGGAAGTCCTTCTTGTCCTTTCAAGTGAATCAGCTGACGTTTTTGAAGCTCCTGCAACAACCATAAGTGCTGAGAAATCTCCACCCCCATGTGGCTCAAGCTTTGCGTCCCAACAAACATGATCTCCTTGGCATACTCCAGCTCCACTGCTCCCCGTTTAACGTGTCCCTCAAAAGGAATTCTAAACAACAGGCCTTGCCACTTTACCTTCCACTTTTTGCCCACCAGCTCGCCGAAACGCAATAAAGCTTCCCTTTTTCCAAAGGCCAGCCCATCATCAACGAACATGCTAACGATCGCCACAATCTCCTGTGTGTCTTCTCTCCTGAGTACCCACATTCCAGCATAGTCCGAAACGGCGTGGACCTTGAGGTTAGGCAAATGATCCCCCTGTTTGCGGTGTCAAGACCTCATCGCTCAGATCTTCTCGTTCTACCTCTCAAGATACAGGACTGGACCTAAGCCCATATATGCCCTTTTTCGTCCGCAAGAGCCGCCCCTTCTTGACCAGCCCCAGCGTTTGAAGAATTTTAGGAGGTCGCATGAGGATGGTATTCTTCGACTTGAGGTCAGAATAGAGAAAAGCATGACTCACGTCAAAACCCATTCCATCCCACTCCTCATGATTAGCCAATTCTGTATACATCACCCTCAAGCAATTCACATCCACATTCGATGAAGCGTAAGCAGAAGTATCAATGCCTGACGTGTCTTCATAGTTGCCACATACCACCAGTCGGACTCGCTCTAGAACTGCAGCGGAAGCCTGTTCAGCTGCTGCAGCCGCGCCTTGCTGCAGAGCATGTTTATTGTGCTGCATGACCACCAGCTTCTCCGTACACACCAGAGACATAGGCAGGATCGCCGGAATATCATCATTCGGGCCCAGTCCTAAATGCTCACGCAGCTCCTTAGGATCTTCCGGTAGCTCATCCCAGACCTCCATCTCCTTCATTGATGTCATTTCTTTTGAGCAGCTAAAAACCAGGGGTGTTGGGCTTCTTTCGTCCCAGAAGTGAACACTTTAGCACTCACTGTCTCAGCGCCAGCTTTCTGCGTAGCCAGCACATTCAGGGTTCTCTCTTGTTCTTCAGCATCTGCCTCCTCCTCAAAGGTCTCGATGTGATACTTCCCGCAGTCAGTGGTTCCGCCATCCGTCGCCACCTTTGCCACCACATCGCCTTTGACAGGTTTTGCCCCAAAGATCATATCCTCCACTGGGCCAAACTCTCGCTCCTCCAGAGTAGGTAGCTCCTCCGGCACTTCCTCACCAGCGGCAGCGGTTTGATGTTTCCCTTTGAAGATACCCAAACACGCACTCCTGTTGTTGTTGGGGCACCGATAGCTCCGGGGTCCGCACCATTCACCATCGGTGTCATAGTTCCCGTTGTAGATAACTGCCTTGACCCATCGCCAAGGCCCTGCCCATTGTCTCCACGGCCCAAAGGTGAAGCAGCTGCCACCGAACCGTACGGTGGCCCACAAACCTCTCCTGGCAGCAAAGTAGCGCCCAGGGGGTTTGGGCTCATAACCTGGCGGTCCGAAGATCCGCCAGGTCTCTCGCTACCCCCATTCAATGCAGCCATGGCTCAGCAATGAGGCACAAAGCGTGCGATTCTTTTCCACAAACCGAACAGCAATCTTGTGTGTTGTGCTGCTATGCTGTGATGCCAATCGGCATGCTGTGACTCCCTTCGGGGCTTTGGTGTTTTCGGCTCTTTGAGCCTCTGTGCCTGCGACGATCGCGGCCCCATCGAAGTCACCTCAGCATCAACATAAACCCTAAACCCTAAACCCTAAACCCTAAACCCTAAACCCTAAACCCTAAACCCTAATCCCTAACCCCCCCCCCCCCCCCCAAAAAAAAAAAGAGGCCAAAACAAAACAAAAATAAAGGGCCTAAAAAAAAAAGTGCACCCATCGTAAGCTGTCAGCTTCTCTAAACTCAAACCGGCCAGAGGCGGGGTGATCCCATGCCATCCCGTAAGTTGTTTGTGATGTTGTGCCGTGCTTTTCACAGGTTTGGATTGCAGCAGCATCAAATGCAGGCGGCGGCAACGGTGATCGCGCGCCCGTAAGCACAGTAGGCGTGCGTGCCGAGCGAAAACATGTGGTGAAACAGTGATGCAGGACGCAGAGAAATCGATCTTGATGTGAAGCTGAGCATGCCGCGTGGACTGATCCAAAACAACAACTGGCAAGTGCCTTAGTGCCTTGCAAGCTTGCGCAGTTGTATCACCAAAACCTGCCAATGTTGCCGGGCCCCAACCGCTAATGAAAGCTTTTGAATGGTTTCTTGCCAGCAGTGGCGCGTGTAGCCGTGGATCCCAATCCACTCCCACTCGCCGTGCGTAATGAGGATTTGGCCCAATGGTGTTGCATTCAGTGCAGCCAAGCTTGTCAACTTTGTGAGCCCATGCCAGCGGAGCAACACATGGCGACTTTGTTTTTCAGTTTGCTAGTTGCTGCTAGTTGTTTTGTGTCGGTAAGTTGCCAAAACCAATCACAATGCACACGGCAATTCAAGTGAACAGCCTGGTTGCGGGCAACGCGATCTCGGGATCGTCATTCATCATGGCCAAGGCTCGACATTTTTTTTTGCCACAATGCGTCGTGGCATTGGCGTGGTCAATGTTGGAACTTGGTTTGGGTTGAAGGCTGTGGCAGCTGTGGGGCTTGAGTTGCAGGTCGCCCAAGATGCTGTTCCGGAGCTTTTGGCTTCGTTCACGAACTTGAAAACACTGGCTTCGGGGGTCAACGTCCAGATTGATGAGGCCTGGCATGAGACCGTTCTTCTAGAAGGGGCATCTGCGCATGCACTCCCAAGTCTCGTGGAGGCTGCAGAAGTCCAACGGTTACCCCCAGCTTGCGCACAAGGTTCCGTACAGGCGTCGAAACTCAATGGCTGTTGGCACCCATAGCAGGTGTGTTGGGGAATGGCCTGACGTATTTCGTTCTCCAGACGCTAGACAAGCTTACAAGTTGCAACGTTGGGATTGTTGGCACTCGCAAGTTTGTGGGAGCATTGCGGCAGTATGTTGTGACTGTTGTGTATGCCCAAGGAATCGTGAACCCAAATCACGCGCAGAGCTCTTCTTGGCTGTCGGTTTCGGCTCGTTGGTGGAAGAGGAGGAGGACAGCCAATGCTTCGCCTTTGTGCTTTGTCATCTTGAGTGACTAGTCGCAGCCAAGTTGTCATGGCATGGTAAACGTGCTGGTATGTTCAGGCTACCACGTCAGCTCTGCTCCATGTTTTCACTTCCTTGACGCGACCAGGTTTCAATCATTGAGAAGCATCTGGGAACGAGCCACGTGAGGTCTCAGTCGCAGTTTCATGCTTGTTCCCCAGCCTTGTGGAAGGAGCGCGGCATAGCCCATATCATCGAGCACCTGGGGTTCCTTTCCTTAGCACACAAAGCGTCAGACGCGAAAGAAGCTTCTTGCGTCATCGGCCATGGCATGCTGATTGTTGGATTGTTGTGGTCGCGGAGGTTTTCCGCAACAAAAGCATATGAAAATCATGCCATCGTCAAGTTCTTGGAATCCATCGGTGCCCCTTTCGGTGCATGCCAGAGGCCTTTTTGAATTCATTTTTCTTTGCACTGGCTTGGGGTGATGTTTTGAGTGCGGCGCTGCGCGTTGAGGCGTTGACGGAAAGCTTTGGAAGCGCCCCAACGTGCGCAAAACGTATGACAAGTGCCACGTGTTGCCAGCTAAGGAATGCTTACACCAGTTTTGACCGGACCGTGTGCCCTTCCCCCCCGCTTTCTTTCGAGATTCATCTCACACTTGCATTCTCCAACGCGCTCTGGGAAAGGGTCCTTCCCAAGTCCCCAAAAGGGAAAAAGGGGGGAAAAGGGGTGTGGACTGATTGTGAGCGAGGTACACGCTTCACGTGCCCACTGACAAGGAAGGCTTAGTGGAAGAGTCCTTGACGCTTGTCAGCAAATCGTGGGGACCACTCGCGTTAGTGTGATGTGTAATGTATGTCTGTTTGTCTGTCTGTATGTCTGTATGCCTGTATGTCTGTATGTCTGTATGTCTGGATGACTGTATGGCTGTATGTCTCTGTGTGTGTGTGTGTCTCTTTGTCTGTGTATGTGTCTGTCTGTGTCTGTGTCGGTGTCTGCGTCTGCGTCTGCGTCTGCGTCTGTGTCTGGTCCGGCGTCTGGCGTGTCCGCCCCCCCCCCCCCGGTATGGTCAGGTAGGGGGGGCCGACTGTGAGCACACCCTCGGCAAAACCCGTGTGTTGGGAGTGTTGCGCCTTCGAGCACGCCCTCGGGAAAACCCATGTGTGTGAGGCGTTTCAAACCTAAACCCTAAACCCTAAACCCTAAACTCTAAACCCTAAACCCTAAACCCTAAACCCTAAACCCTAGACCCTAGACCCCAGACCCCAGACCCTAGACCCTAGACCCTAGACCCTAAACCCTAAACCCTAAGCCCTAAACCCTGAACCCTGAACCCTAAACCCTAGCCCTAACCCTGAACCCTAAACCCTAGAGCCAACCCACAACCACACCATAGGGGGGGCGAACCCTAAACCCCAAAACCCGAAGTTCTTAACCCTAAGCCCTAAACCCTAAACCCTAAAACCTTAAATCTTATATACTAAAACCAACCCACAACCACAACGCAGGGGGGGGGAGGAACCCTAAACCCTAGCCCTAAGCCCTAAGCCCTAAGCCCTAAACCCTAAACCCTAAACCCTAAACCCTAAAACCCTAAACCCTAAACCCTAAACCCTAAAACCAACCAACCCACAACCACGGGGGGAGGGGGGCTCCAGACCATTGGGGGCTCCAGACCATTGGGGTGGGGGGGGGGGTGGGCCGCGGAGCGCTGGACCATGTCTGTGTCTGTGTGTGTGTGTGTGTGTGTGCGCGATGTACATGACAGGTCGCACCCGGGACAAAGGCCGTTGGACAGGCAGCGCATACCTTCTGATTAAAGAATAATGTCCCAACGGCGTCAATGGTGCCGGCTGTCACGTTTGTCTGCCCGAAAGCTGGCTCCGACATGCTCCACACGCCGCTGACATGAACATCGACGCACCACCGACATCCACGTCGTGGTGTTGTACCGAAGTACCGACCCCCTCCTGGTTGACGACTCCGGTGCCAGCCGGTGCCGGTGCCGACAATGCCGTTGCAACTTGTCGCCTGTTGTTGGGATATGCCATCTGTGCGGAGCACTGCGTGGCAAAATCTGAATTTGGCCCAACCCCCGAGCACGGAGTTCTATGCCCCCAGGGTTGGGCATCCGCTTCTGGGAATGCAGCCGTTTTTGCCGGACAGGCTGGATCCTTTGCATGAAGGTTCAATGAAACGGGGCCGTTTAGAACGCTGCCGGCATGCCGTGCAGCAGTTCGACGAGTTTTTTGCGTTCACAATATGCAACCCTTGAAACAACAGTGCTGCTAGGCAATTGGTTGGTGCCGAAAGAAAAAAAAAGAGTCAGCGATAGAAGTCTCGCAGCCGCGCCTACTTCTGAGGGCGGAGGCAAAACTGGCAAAACACACGCGCGCACACACACACACAGACACAGACACAGAGACACAGAGACACAGAGACACAGAGACACAGAGACACAGAGACACAGAGACACAGAGAGACACAGAGAGACACAGAGAGACACAGAGAGACACAGAGAGACACAGAGAGACACAGAGAGACACAGAGAGACACCGAGAGACACAGAGAGACACAGAGACACAGAGACACAGAGACACAGAGACACAGAGACAAGAGACACAGAGACACAGAGAGACACAGAGAGACACAGAGAGACACAGAGAGACACAACACACAGAGACACAGACACAGAGACACACAGAGACAGAGACACAAGAGACACAGAGACACACACACACGAGACACACAGAGACACACAGAGACACACAGAGACACACAGAGACAAACAGAGACACACAGAGACACACAGAGACACACAGAGACACACAGAGACACACAGAGACACACAGAGACACACAGAGACACACAGAGACACACAGAGACACACAGAGACACACAGAGACACACAGAGACACACAGAGACACACCGAGACACACAGAGACACACAGAGACACACAGAGACACACAGAGACACACAAAGACACACAGAGACACACAGAGACACACAGAGACACACAGAGACACACAGAGACACACAGAGACACACAGAGACACACAGAGACACACAGAGACACACAGAGACACACAGAGACACACAGAGACACACAGAGACACACAGAGACCCACAGAGACACACAGAGA